TTTGCGTTGATTATTTTTATATTCAGAAAAACATTGTATCAATTTATGTTTGCATTGTTTTCAAAGCTACATGTATTGGTATTATTTTATTCTGTTAACAATTTTGGTTCAAATATTGATAACGTGCAAATTCATGTGACATGTGCATTCAGCAAATGTGATTTCCATTTCATAAAACGTCCTGAATATTTTTTCACAAAGCAAATTAGCGAAGCAAAGATATAAAGCTTAGCAGAAACGTAACAGAAGAGCCCAGATTCTGTTGAATATTTTACCCGGGGCGGTGTGACGTCACGACAAAGGGCAATTTGCAGATTAGTTCCTCGGATGTTTGCGTTACTGCAGCGCCGTTTGCACGCTAGATAACTCGGCGGTTAGAAAATCAGCTGCTCAACGTTCTGTTACTATTCCTTGGGGGAACAAAGCCGAATGTTCGAAGTAAGAGCGCTGAATCCGAAGGATTTGTAGGTTTCGTTTCGGGTAAAATACATTTGGATAGAGAAATTATCGGCTAGTTAGTGACTTGGCACTATTGGAAGAGACTCTGTCTATAACACCTCACTGACGAATCTTCTAGTACAGCTATACCATAGTGTCAATTGGTTGGCCGAAGCTGATATTATTTGAAAATTACGCGCAGACAATACAGAAAATAGTTTTTCTGGATTGATAAATCATGTCTTTAAAAGCTCTAAAAGACTCTTACAAATGTAAGATTACAAGAACGAATATGATTTAAACTTTTCTATTATTTGTTACTAGCTTTTGCCCGCGGCTTCACCCGCGTGAAATTTAGTTTGTCACAGGTCGTCATAAATTATAGTCATTTTTTTTTGTTATTTTGGGTTATAAACAATAATACTGTAAAGTTTCATCAAAATCCGTTCAGTAGTAGTCGTCTAGTTGCGTGAAAGAGTAACAAACATCCAGACATCCACACAAAATTTCGCATTTACTCGTATAATTATTATAATGGGAATAATTGAAATGAAATAACGTATTTCTGTGAAAGCCGAAGATCGAGTGTCTTTTATTTTATAATCCATAAAATATTACATAGACAAAACATTCTATAAAGTTTAAGATTGTCTATAGTTTATTTGATGTCCAAACTACTTTCTAACACCCCAACTACAGCAAATAAACGATAATTACAAAAACAAGTTTTACGGAACATAACGCTTAAGTCAGAACATCAGCTGGCATTGCATTAGTTAGTATACCCATACCGTTCTGGTGGCCTTCTCAATCGTTTGGGTATTACTGTAATTGCTGGTTCTGGTAACATTGTTTCCTTCACCTCTTCAGATGTTTGAGATTGATGCAAAGTTGAATCCAAATCAGTCGTCAAAGCATTAGACTCTGAAGGTCCTACTGTGTCATCATGCGACTCATTTTCAGTGAAATCTACAGGGCTCATAATGACATGATTGATTGATTATGTACAAAAAATGATACAAATATTTTATTTAAACAGTGAGTCTGCAGTACGAGTACGTGTGTGAAAAGTATTATTTCTTAATTTAATAAGTACTCGCTTAGTTTATTAACTTCATAGTTCGTTCATAATTAATTTATATTTTTTCCTGTTATCTGCGAAAATTAAAATAATGTAGGCATTGTGTTGACTGATTCTAATTTACCTTCGATATTTTATAGGAGTCATTGTTATTTTTAGTTGACGATATTTTATTTTTTTCTCTAGTTCGCTCACTCTTCACTGACAAGCACAATCTGTTAAGTAGACAATAATTATTAATTATTTACAATGCTTACTATAATCGAACAATAAATAAATAAGATGTTCTGTTGTGTTGTGTTGTGTTGTTGTGCGGCGAATGTGTTAAATTTTTTACAAGTAGGTTAAGTAGGTAGGTAAGGTACATAACATTTATTTACGTGACACGCCATCGACAAGAAACTTTTCAATTTATGATATGCATTTTGTGGCCCTGAAAAGGGCCTTTTGTTTTTGTNTACCAAAAGAGAAACGACGAAAATGGGATAGTAAATCAAGACAGCACATATTAGTCGGCTTCTCAGATAATGTAAAGGGATACAGAGTTTATGACCCCATCAAAAGATATATTACAATTAGTAGAGATGTTATTGTACATGAGAATGCAAAAGGAAACTGTACATCAGGTTCTAATGTAACAGTTTCAGTTGGGGATATTGTCCAATCAGAGGTTCCAAGCAGTAGCAATAACATGGATGAAGAAAAGTTGGATGTCATTATGAGTCCTGTAGATTTCACTGAAAATGAGTCGCATGATGACACAGTAGGACCTTCAGAGTCTAATGCTTTGACGACTGATTTGGATTCAACTTTGCATCAATCTCAAACATCTGAAGAGGTGAAGGAAACAATGTTACCAGAACCAGCAATTACAGTAATACCCAAACGAGTGAGAAGGCCACCAGAACGGTATGGGTATACTAACTAATGCAATGCCAGCTGATGTTCTGACTTAACCGTTATGTTTCGTAAAACTTGTTTTTGTAATTATCGTTTATTTGCTGTAGTTGGGGTGTTAGAAAGTAGTTTGAACACCAAATAAACTATAGACTCTATAGAATGTATTGTCTATGTGGATTATAAAATAAAAGACTCTCGATCTTCGGCTTTCACAGAAATACGTTTTTTTATTTCAATTATTCCCATTATAATAGAAATGATTGCTATTTTCCGTTCATTTTCATTTCATGAAATGATGATTTTTATTCATGTGATTTCACATGTGAAATTTCACAGGCAATGATTTTTATTCGCATTGTTAAAATATAGCTCTTTCATATAATGTGCTACTTTTAATGAAGTATGAATTATGAGGAACGATTGCCAATTAGCTACTATATTGAATGTGACTTAATATCTGTTTTATGTCGCACAACAAAAAACAAACAGTTCCACAGCACAGTATGTAGGGGAGAGTTCGGTATATTGTACCGCCGGGTAAATTGTACCACCCTCATATTTCGTATTTATTGAATGTCTGTAACTGCAACACTCAGCGATACACAACTAAAATCAATTAATATCGGCCATGTGGTTTTTGCCGTGACAACAAACACGTGTGTTTTATTTTGAAAAGTATTTTTTCATTGTTTTCAAGTAACTTTTGACAATACATGTTTAGTTTGCAATTTTGTTAAATTTAATTACAGGGTGTTTCTAATATATTATTTAGAAGCGTAAATTAGTGTGGATTACAATTATTTGAAACATTTTTCGGTATTTATAAGCTATATTTTTTACCAATTTTTTAAAAGCACTATCACCTAGTCGGCTAAATTGTACTAGTCCAGTAGAATTAGCTTTTAAATCGGAAATAATTCCTACAAAAGATTTTATCGTTTTAATGGCTTCATTGGTTGCCCATTAAGACTCTCCTAAGTTTTCGACTTCGACGGAGTTGTGCTTAAGTGGTGGGGGCCCCCGAAAGGGGCATTTTTTCGGCTTTCCGGTTATACCGCGTAAAGGACTTACCCTATCAAAAAGTGGTCTTCATGACGGTTAAAGGGCACTTAATCCTGCATTGAATAAGACCAAATTCATATGTTTTGGACAAACCGTTCTCGCGCTAAAGTTCGGCAAAGTAGAAAATATACGTATAATTAATTACCCTCTCCACGTCCAATGGTTTGATACCCACAGGCTTCCAAGTCTTGAAAAGGGCCACCTCAACTAGTGTAACCCTATCAAGGCTTACGAGCTTGATGCGCATATCCTTGTTCGTCCNGGGATAGTAAATCAAGAAAGTACATATTAGTCGGCTTCTCAGATAATGTAAAGGGATACAGAGTTTATGACCCCATCAAAAGATATATTACAATTAGTAGAGATGTTATTGTACATGAGAATGCAAAAGGAAACTGTACATCAGATTCTAATGTATCAGTTTCAGTTGGGGATATTGTCCAGTCAGAGGTTCCAAGCAGTAGCAATAACATTGATGAAGAAAAGTTGGTTGTCATTATGAGCCCTGTAGATTTCACTGAAAATGAGTCGCATGATGACACAGTAGGACCTTCAGAGTCTAATGCTTTGACGACTGATTTGGATTCAACTTTGCATCAATCTCAAACATCTGAAGAGGTGAAGGAAACAATGTTACCAGAACCAGCAATTACAGTATTACCCAAACGAGTGAGAAGGCCACCAGAACGGTATGGGTATACTAACTAATGCAATGCCAGCTGATGTTCTGACTTAAGCGTTATGTTCCGTAAAACTTGTTTTTGTAATTATCGTTTATTTGCTGTAGTTGGGGTGTTAGAAAGTAGTTTGAACACCAAATAAACTATAGACTCTATAGAATGTATTGTCTATGTGGATTATAAAATAAAAGACACTCGATCTTCGGCTTTCACAGAAATACGTTATTTTATTTCAATTATTCCCATTATAATATTTATAATATTAGTTGGGATAGGACTATGTATTAGTATTTATCGTCTATGCTAAATAAATGAGATCAACTCTCTTGTACCTGAGATCCTAATTAATACTTATGCTCTACTCCCAGATAGATCATACAAATTACATAACAATATCTCACAGGTTTTAATCTTATTAATTATCTTATGTTAGATTCCGTTCCAAGATCCTGCGGTAGGTAGGCCTTCGATCCGATTGAGCTAAGCCAGAGCCCAGAATCCTACAGCGGCTTATTAAAGACACCTAGATTCTACTATTCTTACTGTCTATCTATGTGATAAAAGCTGAAGTGGCAATGGGCAGGGCACATAGTACACAGAACTGACGGCCGATAGGGCAGCAAGGTTCTGGAGTGGAGGCCGCATACCGGAAAATGCAGCGTGGGATGTCCACCCACAAGGTGGACCGACGACATCTTAAAGGTAGCAGGAAAGCGCTGGACGCATGCCGTTACCAACCGGGTAACATGGAAAGCATTGGGGGAGGCCTATGTTCAGCAGTGGACGTCCTGTGGCTGAGATGATGATGATATGATAAAAGAAGAAGATAAGGGTCTTACCTGGAAGAATAGTACGAAACACACCCACTGGTAGTACGTGTAGTACTTCTTCTCCTGCGAACCGTCATATTCGTTGGCGATACCTGGATGCGCTACCTCTTTGCCAACCTGCAACAAAAATAAAACTATAATAGCAGGAAAAGCGCATATTTAACAGTTCTTATTTCTCAATTTTAACCAACCAAACATAAACCAAAAGCGCTAGACGGAAAACAACATGGAAAGCATTGGGGGAGGCCTATGTTCAGCAGTGGACGAACTATGGCTGATATGATGATAAAACGTAAACCAAAACTATAACCGATTTTTATTAGCTATCGGCATTAGAAACAAAATAATTTTAGAATACAAAGTAGGTAAATATTTTTTGGTAGAAGTTTTTCAACGCAAAATTTGATCAAGGACAAAAATATTAATAAGTTACACTCTTATCTCAAACCGTATAGTTCAATGAACTTAAGTACAATAATCTTAATGCGAAAACTCTTCTACCGTCATAAAATAACATTTCATTTATCAGACTTTCAATTATAGAAACTATAATCGAAGCCAATCATAAGAACAGGTCGTAAACACCATTATACAAAGAAATTGGATTTCTCAATTTCATGCCATACATAAAACAACAGACGAGGAATTAAATCGTTGATGGAAGTAAATAACTGATATGAAAGTCAATTCCTGATACATTATTTAAATGGCAACGGTTTTCAATAGTTCGATGTGAAGGAAAGAGACAAACACTCCGATAGCTTCGCCTCATTCCATAATTCATAGTCAGGTGAGGTCAAAATATAAACATAAGGACACCACTGTTAGAATAGCTCAAATACCTACTTATGAGATGAGCTAAGAGAGAAAATACTACGCAAATAACAAAACACTTAAATTTGTTACTGTTCTTGTAACTAAGGATATAAAAAAATGCTTGTGCTCACGAGTATCACACTAAAATGATTCTCCACCCACTACGAACATAACCGCTAATGGCACTGAATCCCAGTTCATTAACTACTCGTACTAGCTAGTCCAAGCAGCCATCACACAATATCTAACAAAAACAATTCTTACCAAGATAAATTCGATCAAAATAGCGCTGCATCCACTAAAAATATACATCCATAAAAGGAAAACGAAACAATGCCAAAGATAGAAGCTAGGGTAACGGAATGTGCAATCCAAAAGTCGATGACCAAGCGATCGCTTTAAATTAAATCTGATTAATTAAATCCTAGCCAGTACCAATGATTCACCAGATCACCAGCCCTGCATATTTCTCGCATCATGACCAAAAAGGAAGTGGGCTGTTACTCACAATGCGCCCAGGAGTGAGGTCAATTGGTGTCGTTTAGGCACAGATTTGCAAGCTTGTTGAGCGAATCCTTCCATTTCAATTCAGAACTCTAGCAGCAAGAATTCAAGCTTCATTTGCTACAAAAGAAGTATTGTCAATTGTAGAAAATTGCAGCCAACAAAGATCAGCAATTTTGATTAAATAATATATCAGGCAGGAGCCTTGACCAAATACCAAGCGTTTGTAGAATTGTATTGTCGGCTAATTTAGAGTAATATCAATAAAGCTAGAGCTGAAGAAAGTCTTAATCATAAAGTCATTATCATAAAAATAAAAATAAAATGTTTCCATCTTGAAATAAGAAGACATTAATTCATACCAGACACAATAGTTTATGATTCACGGCAGTTGCATCTTAAAGAGCTATTAACCTCTGTCGTCACTTTTGCAAGGAAACGATCACACGACAATGACGTAAGCAGTGGCAATACACCTTCATTTGACGGGCGCGGACATGATCACTTGAGTTACCGTTAGGTCCTTAACGTGGGAGCAATTGAGCACGCACATTGACTTACAAGACTTGATCATCAAACTGGGTCCTAATGAGAATAAACGTTCTCCCATATCTTTAAAAAATCTCACAATGCTTAAGAACATGCCCCTTTTGTAAGTGCTAAAGTTAATCGGTAGAAGTCTTTTATAAGCCCATTAAGTATAAAAACTTTCTTGATAACAATAACACGAGTCTCATCAACAGATTACACGTTATGAAATTGTTAATTGTAAATTATAATCCGTAGGCAATTATTGCAGAACCTTGACTTACAAATGGGCTTGACGAACACTGACATACCATTATAAGTGCAACCATTTACTGATACAACTAAGACTTTATACTATCTGAATAAAGTTATTTAACATGAAGATAACCTTTCAAGTATGTGCAGACTGCGCGGCGATCCCAAACAGAGTATGTTCTGTAATCAACGATCATATCGTTGACTGTAGTACAAAGGTACTACTTAATATGCAGTACAACACGGCAATTATAATTTCTGTAGTAGTGTAATTAGCCAATAAGTGATCTTTATAAAATAATCAAGATATAGGTTCATTACATTCTGCTTTGACTCTTAAAACTAAGACAAACGATTAAAAACCTTTGAGCCAAGCCAAGGCAAATAAGACACTAATATTTTCCATAAAATATAAAAATCTAATTGCCCCATAAAATAGCAATACCACTTGAAGTACACACCTAAAACATCAATAAAAACGATGTTGTTTCTTAATTCATTACCAAATTAACGCCACCTCACGCAAGTTTGTTGTCGCCGAATGTTTTCAAACAAGTCACAATGGACCGTAACTTGTTTGATGTATTCATTTGACACACTGACCAAATTCGTGAATAAATTACGCTTTACATTTATTTATTGACTTTTAATGTCCACACGAGTTGAGCTGTTGACCTTTTGTTAATAGGTATTAGACGAAGGGAACCATCGAAGAAGGATATTGGTGATGATTTTTTAAAGTCCTTTTACTTGTGACAGACCGAAATTGACACGCGTGAAGTCATGGGCAAAATCTAGTATAATACAGGTGTCCGTAAACAAACTACTAAGGCTACCCAAATCACCTTGATGTACTCATATGTTTCGCGATTTTGAATAGCTTGTTATGATTTTTTGGAATAAGGAAGAGAAATTGTAAAAAAAAACGTCATAAAATGGAAACTAATTATATCAAAATCGTTTGTTAATAAGCTCACCTCTGGGTTTCGTCTTGACCCAATTTTTTTAGGATAATCTTTAGACCAGAGGCATTATTATGCTTTATTATTATTTCGATGCCTGCAATGCTTTGTAATAATATGCAACTAAAAATAAAGCTCTTTAAAAGAACATTTACGAAAATCATGAAGACATAATAATAGCCGTATGTTAACCCAACCCTATACTTATTCCGATTTGGGTTACGATGCAGATATAAGGACTCGTGCAAATAATGACACTTCGTAAGAACCATAATGGTACCATTATCACTGATACGCTAAAAGGACGCTAAAACAGCCCAGTCACGAACATAACAACAATACAACAATAATAACAAAGAAATTGAGAGTCTCAATTACAAGGCCCTCTGGCTGGTAGCCAAAGATAATGTAGACAGAGAAAATGTATAATTTAAGGCTAACAAAACATACAAAAATGATATGGATACACCTGGTTGAAGGCGTACAAGTGAAATCGGTAAATGTTTGGTTCAATTGATAAGTGGGTGGATGGAAACTTTTGGTATGTATTAGTTGGTAATGATAGGGGATAAGGTAAATAAGTTGGCCAAATAAGGAAAGACGGATATAAATGTATTTAGACTCGGAAAAAGACAAACCTACGTCACTTAGGTACTTGATGTTGTTTTCGTCTAATATCATTGTAGAATTTATATTTTTGTGTTTTTCGAATCGTACTGTAGGGTAAGCGCGGCTGCCGTACAAAAAATAACACCTAACTTAAACTTTTTGGAATAACTAATAGAGTAAAATAGACAAAGACCAGGACGCAGGACCGGTCGCTGTAGAAGTCGGGCCAGGACACAGGACAGGTAATTGAAATCCTTGGGAAAGGCCTTTCTCCAGCAGTGGACGTCATTTGGCAGAAACAAATAAACGAAGGCAAAGACCACCAACGTAGGAGTCTAAATTTAAATAAACTAAACATGGCAAATTAATCAACCGGGGCACAATCATTAATATCAATAGCAAACCCGAAGCTATCCCGTCTTGTGCTAGATTCCTCAATCGGAGCACAATTGGACCTGTTATGAATCATTACGAGAGAGTAAAGGTCACACGAGTAATAGACAAAGAACAACACAGTGGAATTTTAACGTAAAATCATAATTAGAATACTTCAAGTAAGACGTAATTAATTTACATAAAATATGAACGATATCATTATTAAATGACTAAAGGTCAAACAGCTATTAAGGCCTTGGATGTTTCAGCAAACCAAGATATGCTAAAAATAGATAGGTAAGCTAATAAGCAATTCTTTAATATTTGCATGAAGCTTACAATGTGTGTACGAATAATTAAAAAAAGCAAAAATTATTATCTGGTTAGACAAAAACGTCTCAAAGGGGAATTGTGTTATAAGTCGATTTATATTGTGTTTTCTTTAAAAGGATTTATTAGATCATATTAAAACACTTGGATAATTTCAGAAGATCATTTCGAATTCTCACGTGGCCAGGAGAAAATATCGCATCATGACATGAGATGTTCCAAAAATCCAAGATCGAACTTTTTCTTGAAAGATTTAGACGATAGAATTCACCAAATGGGACTCAAAGATGTTATAAACAATTAAATAGTACCTACTATCAGCCAGATAATGAGGGCTTATTAAGGTTAAACGACAATTATTGGACCATTATGGAAATCTATAAGTACGGCCATCACTACATTGTCAATCTTCTTCAATTATGAATTATGAGTAGTAAGTAGCCCTTCCAACGGTGACCTGAATTTGGATGATCCTTACTATCAATTACGCTGCATAAGATCATAATGAAGCTGACATTAATTAGAATATTAATCGTAGTAGCTAATCGGCCTCCTTTATCCGTTTTAACTAAGGCATTAGATACAGTTAACAACTTTAGACTACTAATTAGAAATTGTTAAAGTACGTTTCTTGAGGTATAACCCTTATTGCTATCGCAAAGCCATGATGACTGTGTCATTTCATCGAGCAATTGGTATACTATAATAATATTTATAACCGTTTGCGTAAATCCGACTCAAAGTGAAGTCATGCCTGTATTATTTATCAATTTACATACACATAATATCTAGCGTCTTAGTCACCTAAGGTTGAGTGTTTCAAAAGGGCGCCGTATACTTAAGTTATTTCAGTTAATACTCAATGAATAGTCATTAGGTACATTCATCCAAGAAATCCATTAAGAAATTTCTTTAGACAGCACTAGGCTAGAAACTAGTTGCATCTCTGTTTTAACATTATTATGGTTTTGGATATCAATCACCTCCACATCTTTAAGTCACGGAAGACACACAATAAGAGGCAGGTTTCTTACTCATTAAGTAGAATACAAACAATTGTGGACCAAACATACCTCCCTGGCGAACGCGTCTGGCATCGTAAACGTCGAAGTGATCCAACAGAAAGTGTTGACCACATTCGTTGGTAGCCCACTCACGATGCACTGAATCGGCTGCCCCACGTACTGCGTTGCTGTGATGATGATTGAGCAAGTGAGCAGCAGTACTGTCGTGAACACATTATGCAGCCTGAACACAGCATTGTCAGTCTTGATCGGGTTGTACTTGAAGTACACGCTCAAACCGCCCAGTAGCTTGAACATCTTGGCTCTTGTTTGGTTTTACTCAGTAATCATATTATTAAAGGAAGTCAACTGAGGAATGTCCTTAACATTAGGTTCTAAATCAGTCTTTGTAGATGGTGGAATGTCGAGATTATTGTCGAGATTGCTTGTTTCGATACCTGGAACAAAAAGGAAAACTTGTTAGGAATCATATCAATGAATTAGGATCCAAGTACAAAAGTGGAATGACCTGACACAAAAAGTCTCTCCATGAATTATAATAGAGTTAATTGCCATTTTAAACTCTATTAAATACTATAAGTTTCTTAAATTATGCAATGACTTAGGGCGATGCCCTATGGCCTATGGCACACAGATGTGGATTGATTAGGGTACTAAGTAGTCTCAATACGGCACTAAAAACACAGAACCTACCGCAAGTAGGAAATAATTTGTAACTGTCCATTTACTAGCACTAACTGTTACTTAAATGCCAACAAAAAAAGATAATTGAATTTAAATCGAAGCCTTGATGAATACATAAACTGTTAATACTGAAGAGGAATGAGACAACATCGTAAAAACTTTAGTGCATTTGCTAACAGCTCACTATGATTGCCTCCATTTGACTTGCAATTTAAATTATACAAGCTGTGACTTTCCAAATCGCAATAAAACTCCATTTAAAGCCAGAAGAGATATAAAGTCTACATAATGTAATAAGAGTGTTATAAAACTGGTGCTATTTGCAAGTGATCACTTGATTTAAGAGTCACTGGTTCCACATGACAAATTAAACCTGACTTCAATTTCAATCAATTTTGTGACTTCATCGAATCCGCACTAGGCAAAGAAGTCGAATTAAATTCGAGCATGGCCTATTAGGTCTAATTTTAAAATAATGAGTCTCAACCAACCAATGGCTCCATCATTTCTTGAAATCAAAGGATTTTGGAACGGTTTATCGTGATTAGGTAAGGTCTTACTGCGTCTACTTCTCTTAAAGACTGCAGTAAAGTCTGCTACTTATATGCCTGGACGTCCACCGGCGGGTCGTAAACTTAAATCGAGATTTGCTAGTAAATCACAAATAGATATCCGTTTTCTATGCATTTGCATTGAGATATTTTAGATATTGGAAGTGCATAGGAATATGAATTTGCTATTGAATAGCACTTTCAGATCGATTTCTCCGATGTTATTAAGTTTAATGGCTGCATTAAACATAAGAAGTGCAATTTATAGATAAACACAAACAATAAACTGAGAATTGTCTGGAACCACAAGGCTAGCACCCACTATAGTCTAGGACTCTAGGTGCTAAATAGGTGTAGCTTTATGTTGTTTGAAACTTTCATGGTCACCATGAACCATGTCTTGATATGTCTGCCCATAACATCTCACCCGCTAGTTTCCTCAGTTACTCCGTGATCATGGCGCTTGAAACAGTACCGAAATATCGGAAACTCGAAAGTAAGATAAGGTAGCAATCCCGTCAATAATAATTATTCAGGTATAGTTTTATACGACCTAAACCAGAGTGGTCGGTGGTGGTAGCAGAGTGTATGAAATATGAAATGATATATGAAAATATGTGCAACATCGATATCTAAAATATAAATTAAATTCACTCGGTGAATATGGGAAAGTGACAATTTTAACTGTCTACTACGGTTCATGAGATAAGCCCGCTAAGCACGGGAGGACAGCCAAGGCTTCAAATGAAATAATAGAGTCCCATTTGGCACCCTTTGGTACCAACCCGAAAAAGACATGCTGAAACTATTTCACTACATGGCCGCCTCTGTGTTGTAGTGGTAAGAACACTGCTTTAGACTCAGATGTTCCGGGATCTATTCCCAGTGGAAGCAGATAAGTCTGCCAGGCCAGCCACCATCTTACCTAAATCTGTCGCCATAACAACAACATTGTGTTCCGACAGTATAGCCACTTAGCCAGTTCCTCGGTGCTTCAGGATTCCGGGTGAAGCTCGCTTCCACCTTCAGCCTGATCATCACTTTCCATCAGGTGAGATGTAGGCTAAGAGCCTCCTTGTGGATAAAAAGAATGGCCTACTAAACCTTTTGTCTATGAGATTTACTATAAGTCCCTAGTCCCTTAATTAGTTGGGTTTTTATGGCGGTCAAGCTATAGATCCTGGCTACACAGGAGTTGCAGTGGTGGAAACGAGAGGTGGGAATAGTCCCGTAAACCTTTTGTCTGTCTTATGAAACCACCACACAGTTACACCTCCACAACAACCGCTAGTCGCATCGCATGACAACGAATCACGCACTCTACCGATTTCCATACACATGCAGCTAACGTGCAACTTGACATGCTATGGCTATAATGCTTGACCATTGAATGTAGTAAAACATGGGAATACGTGACCATGTTCATTATGAGGTCATTTGATTTTTGTTTTGAAATTATTTTGACTAAAACTTGGGGCAAAAGGTGTTTGCAATTAATAGATAAATAATTGGAGGATGGCATATTGATATCATCAATAAAATTTTCATAATATTATGTTGCTCCAAAGTGGTGGTAGGGCAAGCTATATTAGGGACGCGTACAAGTGCCCTGGAAAGGGTCTAAGTACTGATAATGTTTTGATTTTATCATGACATGTCGGCTTTAGGTCAAGTAGTCCCGTAGAAGTGAGTTAGTGAATCTGTCTACTTGAAATACAAAATGTCTGCTTGTTTTGGAAAAATAAAACAACCTGATAGTAACACTATATAATAGTAACATTTGTAATACAGGTGTAGAGCCAACGAATAAATATAGCACAAAGTAGCGCATCGTCTTGGTAAGAAAGTACATCGAACATACATATAATACCTATACCTACAAGTATATTATGTCATGCCCAATCTGACCGACTTCAACACGTGGGTAAAACACAAACACATGTGTGTAAACAGACGGCGCCCCACCTGTGCGGGGTCAACGACCTGTTATCACGTCGAGGCCGGCCATACTGGAGGAGGGCTGTTGACAGTGGCGTAACTATACCGTTCGAGGCCCGTGGCAAATTCATCGAATGGGCCCTCCCACTTTCCCAATTGTATAAAGAAGCTGAACCAACAACAATAGTATTTTTTATTTTATAATATTTATTTATACACTTTTATTTGTAAAAGTTAACTAATAAATCACTACGTGAAGTAGGTACATACAAACTTTATAATTATAATTTCTTGATTTTATAATTATTCACTTTTAATTAAAGGTACCTATTGAACTGAAATCACAATTTTATTTTAAGTAGGTACACTATTTTAATTATTAAAATTCCTTTCTTTGGACTTTCTGTTCAGCAAAAGTGTTAATGACATCATCAAAGTTCAAATTTCGGGCCATAGAATTTTCGATGGATAGAATAGCCAAATTGCTTAACCTTTCTTGTCCCATAGAATTTCTTAAATAAGTTTTTATCAATTTCAGTTTTGAAAATGATCGCTCGGCACTAGCCGTAGTTACAGGAATGGTGAGAAATAGCAGAAATGCAGTGCACACTTCAGGAAAGCTTGAAGATATAAAATGATTCTTTATTATTAATAAGTCAGCAAGTTCTCTTATAGAAGATGACCTTTCTATTTCGTGTTTAAAAGAGGATCGAAAACTGAGAATTTCTTTGGAAAACGACATAGATATGTTACGGACTACGGTCAAAGTGATAAATGTGAAAATTATGAATAATCGCCGGTTATTATGAATAATTACCGCAACATTTGGTAAATATGATTAATATGAGGTCATTTATGTGTGTATAAAACTAAATAGGCGGCTTAGCGGTGGCCCAAGGGCCACCCCCGCCGCACCTTAACCTATTTTTCACTTTAAATCAAAACATTATGTTATAGGCATCATGGAAAAGTAATATTATGCAAGAAACACTCCAAACTCATTATGCCAAATTATATTAATATATGATATCAAAACGTTCAAAAGTTTGGCTGTACACGAGCACGTACACAAGATGTTGTTCTCTTTTATGAAATTTGTTAGTACTAAGCTTCAATTATTAAATAATCACTGTTAAATTTGATTTATTTATCACTTTTACCGCGACTGTCGGTAATTATTCATAATAACCGGTTATTATTAATATTTTCAATTTATCACATTAACCGTAACAGATATATCATTTTTATATAAATGGACAAATGCTAAAGCCTTTTCCAATAAATCAGTATCATTCAAGTTTTGCAAAGTGGCAGGCTGCAAGACACTAAAATTGGAAACAATTTCATTCATTCCAAGGAAACGCGATCTAAGTTGATTAATGATGATGTCTAATACACGATAGAATACGTTCACTTTAAACAAGCTTTCAGGATCTTGGAGACGTTCATCCTCACAAATTTCATCAAAATGACGTTTCACTTTTCTCTGACGAGTTTTAGGAAATTCAGGGTTTATAGACCATTTAACTGCAATACTATTTGCTTCCGTTTTTAAATCTTCAAATTCATGTCGATACTTTTCAAGTTCTTCTAGACAGACTTGCAAACGCTTTGAAGCATTTGAAACGTAGATAGAGAATAGAGTCTCTCTCTCTATTCTCTATCTACGATTTGAAAGATCGATGGCTTTAGATTGAAGTGCTTTAGAAGCCGCGTCTATGGTTTGTAAGACTTTGCAATGGAAAACCAGCAACATAATAAAATTGTAGTTCTCTACCTTCTTCTTTAGCAAGATAGCTTCATTTCTCTCATTCACACATTCTTTCTAAAACTGGATTAAATTTTTTTTTACCAATGCATTGAAAGTTTAATACCTAGGTATATTTTTTTTAGTTGTGTATGCAACTAAGAAGGTAACAAATAAATTAAAGACAAAACTTTTTTTTACTTAAGTAGTATGTGTGTGTAATAATAAATGTTGGGAATTGAGATTTCCTCTGACCGGGGGCCCCTTCGGGCTGGGGGCCCGTGGCATTTTGCCGACTTGCCACCCTATAGTTACGCCACTGGCTGTTGATAATAATTTATGCAAATTGAGTTAGAGCTTTGATAAACATGATAGAGTTCGGAAAACATACCATAAATACCTACTATAGCTCCTTACGTTGACTTAAAGATGCGATTTTGCGAAAAAAGCACATGTAGATTAATGTGATATAATAGTAATATTTCTGAGTTATCAAAGGAATTATCTTGAATTTTCA